CCATGTGGTGAAGTGGGATTTCAGGAGGCCCTGCAAAACTGATGGCAAAACCATAGCGTTCGGGGATGGCTAACCTCTAACCTTGTGTGATTCAGGTCTTACAAAATGAAAAAACTAGGCAAAAATTTGAACACAAAATACTGCATCCTGACTACCTATGCACTTGCCTTTGGGGTTATCAGTTTTCAAGGGGTTGTTCTTTAATTGGAAACTGCTGTTTAATGGAGATTGAAGAGCCTTGCATAATCCCACGACTCCAGGAGGTCAGGCTTTAGGAGTTCCTGTAGAAACACGCAGGGACTGACAGTGAAACCTTCATGTAACAGAGAAAATTCCTGAAAGCACACCACTGTGCTGGTGAGGTCTGTGCTCCCAACTCACTCTCATCTTCAGCATGTCACCTGCTCTTGGAAAAAGCAATAGTCAGTGGCTGCCCTGCGGGAGCCCCAGGGGCAGGCCTGGGGCCAGGGCTAATGCTGGAAGCTGAGTCGCTGTGCCAAAAATGTTCAGCCTGACCCAAATGGCAGAAACAGAGGCACGCAAGGATCTCCCGTGGCCACACAGCTGTCTGGGTGGCAGAGCAGAGCTGCCCTCTGCTTTCCCATTAGCCCATGCTGTCTCTCAGGTGCCTGGAAATTACTAAGTGAATTTAAGGGTGTGCTAGTTTGCAAATAGGTGGAGAGTCTGGTGTTTGGAAACCAATTCTTAGCTCCTTCTGCTGCTTCTTGCATCAGCCCCCAAGCCCGAGCCTCCTCCTTCCCCAGGCCGCGATGTGGGAGGTGCACCCAGAAGTGCCCTTGTGACTGGGGTGCAGTACAGATGTTGGGACAAATCCATGTGAGAAAACCCCAGGAGAGCAAACACATCTGCTCCACAGAGCAGAGCCCAGCCTGCCCAAGAGGCGCAGAGGTTCTTGGAGGAGATGGGCATCTCCAACAGCCTTGGCTTTCTGGGGGTTAAGACAAAATCCTGCTGTGCTGGATGACTCAGAGAAGGTAGCAGGGAGCGCAGTGGCGTGGGGGGAGAGGCACCGAGCGGTGACTCAGGCTCCCCTACCCCTTCCCCCTTACACAGCGGCACGTTTAGCCTGCCTTGCCATCAGCATCAGCTGCGGTCACATCGCAGGGACAGGCTGGGATGGGAACAGGGCAGAGGAAGGGTATGCTGTGCAGAAGCACCGGAGCCTTGCCCACCACCAGAAAGGCTGCCTGGAGTTATCCCAGGGCAAGGAAACAGGGCAGGACTGGGACTGCATCTGGGACTGCACACTTGTTTAATAAGTGCTCCCTCTCCTGGGCCATGGCCACACTGTCCCAGAGAAAATTCTAGTGCTTTGGCAAACTGGAAGGTATCTCAGGCTGGGCAGACTCCTAGAGTGGGCAGTGACCTTACCTCGGCTCCAGATGGTCCCAGTTCTACATGGCAACTGCTGCCCAACTCCAAAAAGCACTGGACACTCAATGAAGATATCATGGTTGAACACCCCCATGCTGTCTCTGCCCACCAAGATACAGTGTCATGCTCTCCCTGGGTAGAAGCTCATCTTCTCCCTTACGCCTGTCCCTTGGGGACCTAAAAACTGGGGAAGGATGCTGGGAAGAGATTTGGCCGTTCAAAATCCTGCCAATACAGAGCCCAATATGATTTAGAGGAATTGGCTGTCACCAAGGGCGTTTTGTGCTGTGCTGGGAGCTTCTGAAGGCCAGAAGGGAAAGCCTGTGTCAGCTTCGCATCAGCCTCCAACTCCAGGGGCTTCAAGAGCAGAAGATTTAAAAGAAAAAAAATAAATAATGCAGTTTCCTTCAAAGAGTAAAAAGGTGCAGGATGTACCCAAGGGATGAAGAGAAAAGGTTTCTCCAGGGTATGAATGACTCAGAAATGGCATTTTCTGTATTCTAATAAGGGACGTCAAGTCAGAGGTAATTTATTCATGGCAAGCTGATGCAGTTGCTATGGAGAGCATAATAGGAAGAAACTCTTTATAATGCATAGTGTATTGAGGAGGAAAGCATTTGTCAAAGATAAAACCTTGGTGTGAGGATAAAAGCGGGAAATGGTGATTAGGAACATTAAAAAAAAAAAAAAAAGCTGTCTGCAAGCACTTTCACCGAAGCTGTGAAAGGCAGGGTCTGATCTCATCCTGCTCCGCTTAGCTCCAGGTGGGGAGAGGACTAATCCCTGCTCAGGGCTTCCCATCCACCAGACATCAGCCCAGGAGGGCCCAGCACCCCGGGAAGCAGGTCCACTGGAAGCCATAAGCCCGTAGAAGCTTCATCAGTTCAAACATGGAGGAACTTAGAAAACAACAGCAAACGAGGCATCCCCGGTAACATACCCAGACAAACCCAGCCACCCTGTCCAGGCTTCTCCTGGGGCTCTCCCAGGAGAGGCTCAGCCCCGTGTGCCACATGGGAAACCCATCAAGGTGAGTCCTGGGGAGCTGCTCTCCAAAGCACCTTCCCAATATCCTAGGAGACATCACTGGTGCCCTGGTAATGACAGGGCACCTCACACCACAGCTTCTGGGTTTAACAGTCCTGTTTTCAGCAAGCCCACTGTCTCATACTGAAGATGACCTCCCCTGAATAAAGTTTTGGGGACTCCCGGTATCAGATGAGGATATCAGACCCTTTCGCTGCAGTGCACATATTTTATGCTGGTCCTCGTGGCATTGTTGTGGTGACAAGGAGCGAATGTCACAAGGTGCTGTACAGATGGGGCATGCAAAGATCTCCAATCCAAGCTCTGCTGTCTGCCAAAACAGGAGAGGTGGAGGCAGGAGCAGAGGGAATCCGGGAGATAGTGCTGGTGAAGGCTGGTCAGTGGGGTGCTGCACAAGAAAGGCTGAGAGTAGCACAAGCGGTTTGAGCTTGGCTTTCTGCTCTGCTAAGCCAGTGGGCACTGCAGCTCCCCGCTGCCAACGCGTGGTGAAAAGGCTGCGCAGGAAGGGGCTTTCGCTGGGTGCAAGAGCGGTGGGAGATCCCCCAAACCCCCGAGTCCTCTGCCGTTTGGTTGACCCTTCTTGGGCTCAGCCACTACTTCTGCTGATCAGTAATAATAAAAGCCGGTGGTGTCTTCTCCTTCACTCACAACCCTGCAGGAAGCAGTAGCTTTGCTCACAGCATTCGGGAGAATCCCACAGCTGCCTACGGGGGAAGGCAAAACCCCAGGGATTTTATTATGGGCTGCGCCTTCTATCCCTGCTGCGGAAGGGCAGCACCTCCTCGGGAACGCCGAAACACCGTGAAGCCAAAGGGACAGGGGCAGCCCCTCGCCATCACCTGTGCCTAACAAGCAGGAAGATTACTGATGACTTCACTTGCTCCCTGGAGCCCCTCTGTCATCTGTGTGACAAAATGTCATATGATGGAGAATTCTCAGTCAGACTGGGAAGTCAGCCAGTGCTTCCCCTTGGAAATGTCTGTCTCCAGTTATTCATAACGATAATAAACTTTAATTGCTTGAAGTGCTGGTCCTGGTGCCCAGCACCTGCCTCAGACTGCTCTCCCCAAAATGGTGGGTTTTTTTTTTTAATTCCAGGCAGCACAGTTCAGCCACTGGAGGACAAGGACACACACAGCTCTGCAGCTCTGCTTGTGGGAAAGAGCTGGCCACTGTCACTTCCAACACAGAATCTGCCCCAGCTCCCGGCTCTGCAGCAAGTACTTGAAATTCAGACATGCTGAAACCCTCCTGGTTGCTCATCTGGTGGGTTCCCATGCTCTGCTGGGGACCAGCAGCTCCTCCAGCCCAGGGGATGCAAGGGTGGACAGGACTTTTCCAGAGAGGACCCTTGCCTGCTGGAGGAAGTGCTGAGCTCCCTCACCTCACAAGCAGGTACAAGCCCCACTCGCAGGCAAGATTTGTCCCACTCCCAGGCAAGACTTATCCTTGCCAAGGTCCAGAAACTGCTCCAGAAGACCAGGTTTAATCTGCCCGACCTGTCAGGGTGGGAACAGCCCCATGAGGACCTCGGGATGGACAGAGGGGAAGTGACCCATCACTGATGTGACCAATATGAACCTCATTAACAGAATCCAGGCTATTCACCGCTTTGCCTTGTGTCATTTGTCTCTAAATGAAGCATCTCTCATATAACCAATGGTCCCTTCCTGGGCCACACATCTTCTCACAATTTAAAGTGCCAGATGGCTCTGGCAGACTTTCCCCAGCTCCTACTAGTTTGTAATGAGCAAGGGGTGACATCTGCCTGAAAACAGTTTCCCTGATGCAAGTCAGGGTTGTAACAAACACGAAGACTTCCACCCCCCCCACCCCCCCACCGCCTTCCCCGAGAGAGTCACACCCTTTGCCCCCAAGCAGGTCACCTCACTCAAATGCCTTGTTCCGGCGAAAAACAAAAATAATTTTAAAACCCCCCAGTTTTTAGGGAATGGTAGACCTCAGTCCCACACAGAGAGGGAACCACGGGCAGTGCAGTGATCAAGCATCCCTGAGGATGTGCCTCAGTTAAACTCTCTTTCCATCTAGTGTTTTGGGAAAGAAGGAGCAAGCTCCTGCCCTGAGCTCTAAAACAGTGGGATGTGGATGTCGGGGGGCTGAAAGGACAGCAGAGGTCACAGGGCACAGAGGCTGATTTTCAGCATAGGAAGAACCAGAGAAAATGAAAGGAAGGGAAAGAAATCGGCTTTTGTTCAGGTTTCCTTCAGTGCTGATGAGTCCTGGTCCTGGACATGGTAGTCAGCCCCCCTCATTGTTGTGGGGGCACACCCAGCTTCAGTTGCCAAGTAGCCACTGAAGAATTTTCCAACTGCCCCTGGCAACCATTCCATGCCAGCTGGCCACCAGCAGCTAGTGGCCACAGGTACAACCACGGCCAGGAGGGGCCTGGGAAAGCGGGGGG